GGCCCTGCCTGGATTCCATTAGTCTCTTTGAACAATCACATACTCCAATCGAATCTCGCACGTTCAACGCTATTTGTTCTCAGAAAGACTTTTTAAAAACAGAAATTAAACTGGAAGTGGTTATGCATTAATCCTTGTGGTTTGTAGAGAGCATTACGCCAGGCTCAGGTTTTTTTGTTAAATGAAGTGTCACGATAACAAAGCCACACCTTTCGCCTTTGACTGGAGATAACTGCAGAGAGATCCAAAGGAGAGAGGGAAAGATAATGGTTCTCCACTCTCCTCTGTTGGAGCATTGCTGGATTAACCTAATCAGGAGATTAATCGGACTTGAAACACGAGAAGCAGTGCCGGTGGCCTCTTTATCCAAGTGTGGCAGGCGGGAGGGCAGGATTTGAGGTGGAGTGGAGGGAGATTCAGTTCCCACAACCCCTCTCTCTCTCTCTCTCTCTCTGGAGCCGAGCACCTGCCAAAGAGGATACCGAGAGGCACAGAGGGAATCAGACCCCACTCCAGTTTGCCTTGGGATCGTCTGATTGGGAAGCAGTTCTCCATTCTGAAATTCCCAGCTCATTCACGTGCTGAGAATAGATGAGTACGAACACTCCTGGAGTCACAATGTAACATTTAAAGGAACAGTATATAAAAATGTGGCCAACAGTGGTACTGCAGCCTCTCCCACTCTCCCTGACTCAGGTTGCCAGATATGCAGACGAATCCAGCTGGGACCATAACAGCTGAATAGATAAGAGTTTTGTCAACAACAAATCTATAACCAACACCTTTCCACAAAGATTGAAATCCTGGTTTTATTCCTTGTTTTGTCGATAATGATTTGAGAATCATAACGAGACCTATTTTAGTTCTGCGCCACATGGTACTTTACCAGTGAGATTAGCTCCACGCGGTGAGTTCTGGCGCCCGGATCACCGGACTTTCTGATTGGTGAAACGGTGGAGGGCGGGACATCGAACGTACAGACGTACGTGTAGGAAATGATCCTGGACCAGAGTTTACACATGGATAAGTCCAAGCTACAAAAGAGAACCATTACCGGAAAAAAAATGCATATGTGAAAATTAGGGATGTAAATCGGTGACCATTTAACCGGTGGTTGACCGTCACAGCGTTAACCGGTCAAAGCTGTCGGTTAAAAAAGAGAAAAAGGGGAGAGGGGAGGTCTCTTAATAACGCTATTTTAAGCCCTATTTGCACGGTGTGACGAGCGGGTCCATATCTAGCTGTGTGCGCCCATGTATTATAAACTCCGGGACGACTCTCACGCCGCACGAGCCACATATGCACACACACGCGCGCACACACACACACACACACACTTTCCCCCTCTCCATACGTAACATCCACACGCATCATCTCTCCCCTCTGTTACCGTCAAAGTTGCACACTGGCGCGGGTCAGAACTACATTGGAGCTTACATTTACACACACACACACACACATACATACACACACACATACATACACACACACACACACACACACATACACACACACATAGCGGTCTGTCGCGCTCCTCTGTGTCACGGAGCCCAAAGGATTCGCGCAAATACGCGGCTCCAGTCAAACCACATGGAACATGTTTGTGTTTATGGTCCTCGGGATCAGCTCCACACACATCACTTGTATTTAAACTTTTGTGAAGACCTGTGAGACGCGGCTCGTCACTCGCTGCTCTGACCATGTGAACGAGCCGTCGTTTGCTGCTAGAAAGTTTTGGTATTAACCCGCAGCACAGCAGAATGGGAAGATTAAAAAAGCAGTTCTCTGTGCGCAAAGGTGCCGGAGCTGTTGCGGGTTTGGGCGCCGCTGTCTCGGCTCTGATCCAGTAGAACGCAGAGCTGCACTTATGAAAAGTACACGGCTCGAAATGGCTGTTATTTCAAAGAACGTGGACTATTTTAAACTACGCGGTTAACCGGTTTCAACCGGTTAATGAGGCTCGGTGGTCGGTCATGAAAATTCATAGTTTTTTACATCCCTAGTGAAAATCCATGTTTGATTCGTTAAAATAACGCAATTGCAAAATCTTAACACATTCCGAGAACCATGTGTAAAGCACGGAATAGAACTATAGAGAAGAGGAAAAGCAGGGTGCTACTTGGACATCGATCCTCGCTCTGAGCCTGAGCCGACACATTGATTGGAGGATACAGCTGTGATATTTGGCACATCTCACCATCTCCAACTGCGAACAAACATACGAAGCCAGCCAAGCCGTTAGCCCCATGTTTTCGCACCCATTTTTCCACTTATAAGTTTGACCCGAAGACACAAAGATGGGGAGGGGAAAGTGCAACTGTCGTCCATATAATTGTGTGGGAACCTCATTTTTCAACAGAAAGCAGCGTTCCCAAGAGGCTCTTTTTCCGCAAGCAGTAATCATTAAGTTGGATAGAAGGAAGGTTCAAAACAGCAACTGGAGCCAAGCAACAGAAGAAGCAGAAAAACCTTGGGGAGGTCAGAGAAAGGGACAAACTAACTGTGCACGAACATGTTTTATTCCAGGCTCAATCCGTTCACGTTTTATTCATTGCAGAGAATAATGTATGGATAATGTATAAGTCAATAAAGTTAATGTATACATCTTACTGTATATCCAAGGCTTATTAGGAGCAGAGACAAAAACGGTTTATTGCAAACGGAAATTCTTTTGCATTTTAAAGCTTGGGCAACTTACATATACTGTTTATCCTAAGAGAAAGAATCTCGTAAAAGACAAAGGTTGTGAACATACACCAACATACTGTCTTTGTCTTGTCAAAGCGGTTTACAATTGTTATTTTTGGGCACTTGTCCTCTCACTCCACACAGAGATGGGAGCGGGGCCAGTACAGGAGGCACATGCCAGACCTATTGTACATGATTTTAGTGGTAGTGGAAACCGGAGTACCCCTAGGAAACCTACTGTACGCAGACACTGGGAGAACATGCAAACTCCACTCAGAAAGGCTCTGTTACGACCGGGATTCGAACCCAGGACCTTCTTGCTGAGAAGTGAGAGTGCTATTCAAAAACATTATGATATTTTGCACAGTAGAAAAAGCCCTGGGAGTCACTATATGATGCTTTGGGCTGAACTATGGTGTGGTGCGAGACCAGGTACTGCCCATATTGTAAAGGTAACATTAAAGCTGCAGATGCAAAATATCAGCCACACACTTTACCACAAACAGACAAGATTATAACCATTGGATTGCTCATGATTCCCTCTTTTCTCTGTAAATATTTTTGTTTTTATTATAACAGAATTTTGGCTGACACTCACATATGTTCTAAATCAAATATAAAAAAAAAGGATACCCACATGAAAAACGACCCCCGGTCCAATGAAAAAATACCACGAATAAAGATTCAGCTGCATCATATATGCCGATGGTCACACCCTTCACGTCACAGAAGGGATTTTCTTGTGAGTTAAAGCTGCGGTACCCAATATTCAAACGACAAAAAAACAACTAGAGTAAAAAAGGAACACTACATCAATTCAACTCGTTCCTGGTACAGTTCCTACGCACTGCCAGCCAAAAAAAGTTCCATCATCTCTTTGTCAATTACTTAAAGTCGCAATAATGTAAGAATGTTCATGTCAAGTCATCTTAAAGGCCCTAATCTGTCACAAAAGACGTTATAAAACATGTCATTTTAGAAATCTGCTTTGTTATCCAATTGTTATTTCAAAAACGTTTTCCAGCCCTAATTTGTTATTGTGTTATTTCGATGTCCTCCACTGTTTCAACAATCAGAAAGTCTGTAGATTCCGGGCGCCAGAACTCACCCGCGTGGAGCCTTAATCTCATGGGTAAGAGTACCAATGTGGCGCAGAACTAAAAAGGTTTCGTTTTGATTCTCAAATCATTAACGACAAAACAAGGAATAAAAACCAGGAATTTCTATCTTTGTGGGAAAAAGGTGTTGGTTATAGATTTGTTGGTGTCAAAGCATGTTAATCGGTCCCAGCTGGATTCGTTGCATATCTGGCAACCTGAGTCAGGGAGAGTGGGAGAGGCCTGCTTGCAGTACCACTTTTTGGCCACCCATTTTGTGTGCTCCATAAAATAAATGATTTTAAAACTACCAAAATTGTGTTAGTGAACAATAAGTGATATCAACCTTTAATATGCACTTACGGTTCTAGTTTCTTTGTATTGTCTAATATGTTGTGTTTTTTGTCTGCTCTTATTTTTTACAGGTTTGGGAGGTTGTTTATTGGGGAATGGGGTGAGTTAAGGGGTCATGTGGGGTTGGGGGTATGGGGGAGGGGTTGTGTTTGTGGGGAGTTTGGGGATGGGGGGGGTAAGGGGTTTTTTTGGGGGGGGGGTATTGAATATAAAAAATGAAAAAAAAGTAAGGTGGGTGTTGTATGTGAGGATTTTGTCTGGTTGGGTGGGGTTAATGAGGGTAATATGGGGAAGGGATGGGGGTTTATGTAAGGTGGGGGGGGGGGGGGGGGTGGTGATGAATTGGAGTTTGAAGGGTTGGGGAAGGGGGTAATAATTGGGTAATATAATGGGGGGAGAAAGTTTTATTTTAGTGGGGGTAATGGTTGGTGGGGGAGTTTTTTTTGGGTTTTTGATAGAATTTATTATTATTAGTGGTGGGGGTGGTTAATGTGTGTGTGGGTGATTGGGGGGAGGGATTAGTTGGATGGGGATTGTGGGGGGGGGGGGGGGGGTTTTATGGGGGGGGAGGAGGGGGGGGGTATTAGGAAGGATGGGTGGTGAGGTGGTGATTTTTAGTAAAGTTGGAGGGTGAATGGATGGTTTTTGGGGGGTTAAGGGGGGGGTTTTTTGAGTGGTGGGGATGTTGTGGGAAGGAGATTGGGGGGGGTTTTTTTTTGGGGGGGTTTTGGTAAATGGGTTATGGTGATTATTGTAGGGGTGAGAGTTGGGGTTTATGAGATTGAGTTTAGAGAATAGGGGTTGTGATGTGAAGGGGGAGGGTGTTGTGGAAGTTTGGGAGGATTGGGGGGGAGGTTGTGGATGGGAGAGGAGGGGGAAAAGAATTGGGATGGTGTGGTTGAGTTTGTTTGTGGGGGTGAGGGGGTGAGGGGGGGTTGGGATGATGATGGGGGGGGTAGATTATGGTGGAGTGGGGTTTTTTGGGGGGGATGGGGATTTATTATGGGTGGGGGTGTGGTTGTTTTTAGGGGTTTTTATGAGATAGGGTTTGGGGATGGTTGGTGATGGATTATAGGTGGTGGGTGAGGGTGGTAAAATGGGGGAAATATGGGGGTTGTTTGGGAATAGGTTGGGTATTGGGATGTGGATTGGGGTGGGGGAATGGGGGGGATTGGGTTTTAATGATGGGGGGGGGGGGTTGTGGGGGGATTTTGGGGAAATGGGGATATTGGTATTGGTTATGTATGTTAGATTTGTTTTATGGGTTGTATTGGGGGATAGTGGGGGGGGGGGTTTTTAGTGAGGTAATGTTTTATGGGGGATGGTATGTGGGGGGGATTGTGATGGTTGGGGGGGGGGATGGGTGGGGGGGGGGGGGGGGGTGGGGGGGGGGGGGGGGGGGTGGTTTTTTATGTTAAAGGAGGTTGGAGGGGGGGTTGTGGTTAGGGGGGGGGGGTTGTTGATTTTGGGGGGGAGTGGGGGGGGTGGGTAATGGTAGAGAGAAGAGAGGGGGGGAGGAGGGTGGGGGGAGAGTGTGTAGGGGGGGAGTGGGGGTGGGGTGGAATATGGAAGGGGATTGGTGTGGGAGGAGGTGGGGTGAGGGGTGAAGAGGAGGAAGGGGGTTTTTGAATTGTAAGGTATGGGTATGATGGGAGAGATAGGTTAAATAGAAGGGAGTAGGGGGGGTTATTTGTATTTTGTTGTTTTTTAGGGGAGGGTTGGTGGATTGGGGTATGGGGGGGGAGGGTGGGGGTGGATAGGGGGTGAGGATTATGGGATTGGGTTGGGAAAGAGGGGGTGGAATAAGAATGGGATGGGAGGGGGGGGGAGGGGGGGGGGGATTGAGAGGTAAAGGGGATGGAGGATAGGGGGATAGATATGGGGAGAGGAAGGGGGGGGAAAAAGTGATAGTGTTTTATTGGGGGATCTATGGGTGATGGTTGAGGATATGTGGTAGGTGGTGGTATGGGGGTTTGTGGGGGGGGGGGGTGTGTGGTAAGTTGGGGGATTTTATGGGGGGGTTTGTGAGAGGTAAGGGGAGTAGGGGGGGGTTTGGGAGGGTGTGTTTGTTTGGGTAGGTAGGTAGATATATTTTTGGGTAGGGGGAGAGGGGGAGGAATAGGGAAAAGGGGGGATGAGTAAAGATAGTGGGTTTAATAGGGAGGGGGGTTGAGGATATGGGGATTGATATAGGGGGGGTGGTAATGAAGTAAGGGATAAGTATAGAGGGGGGGGGGGGATAGAATTAAGGTATAATAATATAAGGGGAAGGGATGGAATGAATAGGAGGGGAATTAGAGTAGGGAAGGGAGTTACGGTCGAGAGAAACTCTTTACGTTGTGTTGTTTCCAGGGCAACAAGCAGTGTGATATGGAGGGAGTGGATGGTCGGAGGAAAGGGAAACTATGAGATAAGGCGAGGGGATGATGGAGTGGTTGTTGGAGAGATAGATTCTTTGTGTTGTTGGCGTCTGGGGATGTCTTCTGGTGCGTGGGAGAACTTACAGTTTTGCCGGTAACCTCGTCCCAAACAAAGTTACTCAGCACATTCTTCAGAAGCAGATGGAGGGAGCTCAGCTGTTTTAAGAGCACAGCACAGGGACGGAGAGAAAGAGTCACGGTGATGTAAGCCGAAAGAAAAGGCTGCGGTCGATTCTGAGGTTTTCTGATGATGAAGTCTGTTCCCAGAAAACAAAGACATCTTTAAACTTGTACCAAAGTACATCAGTTAGTGCCACATGAACCAACTGGGACTCTGAGGATCACAGGGACTGGCCTCCTGCTGGGACTCTGAGGATCACAGGGACTGGCCTCCTGCTGGGACTCTGAGGAACACAGGGACTGGCCTCCTGCTGGGACTCTGAGGATCACAGGGACTGGCCTCCTGCTGGGACTCTGAGGAACACAGGGACTGGCCAATGTTCCAATCCAGATGAATAACAGGATTGTATCTTCATTATTTCTAGCGTACTGTGGTTATTTATTGTTGTAATGCCTTGTGGGATTTTAGTTTATTTTTGTGTTTCGTTAACCACTTTGACTTTCCTTGTGTATGAACTGTGTGATTAAAATACTGCACACAATGAACATGTGTCCTGGTCGACAAAGCCTTAAATTACAAAAAAAACACACTGTTTCGTACTCATGGTCCAGGTACAATGTGTGCTTCAGGCCAGGAAATAGAAAAAGTGCAGAATGCAGGTACGTTGCAAATGACATGACAAAAGGTAAGTCAGAAAAACAGAGCTACGGTTATTTTCATTTCGACACATTTTCCAAGATTTGTCGATAGGACTAAAGTAAACTGTCTTTTTGTTTTTAAGAGACAAACACATTTTTCACTTGGAATGGAAAAAAATTTAACGCTTTTGTTCCCTTTCGTAGACTATTATGTTGAGCTTCAAGATGAATAGTTTATTTCCATCATTATAGTTATTGTCATAGTACTTTTATGTTTGTTGTATGTGTAGGGTATGAAAATTGTAGTGTAGAGCGGCTAGTCTCCAGATCAGAGTCTCGCCGTTCTACACAAGTGGGATCTGATTTATTTATTGGGGCACCAGCAGAGTTCGAAAAGTCTGCACAGATCCAACTAATCTGCCTCGATCAGTCTTGCAAATCTGATAGGTTATGAGTACGAAATCAGCCAGGGATATCAAAAGATTGGAAACAGGACGCTTAAAAGATGATTTAAGTTATCGTGGGTTTATTGACTACATACGAAAATAGAAAAATATCGACGAGGAGGGGTTTGGTCACATTAAACAGAGATGTTAAACATATCACATGAATTATACACTAACGTGGCAATAGAACAGTCTTACTTTGAGCAGTCCGTATGGAGGGATGAGGGATGAAGAAAAGGGTGAAGATGATGAGGAATAATGGGAGTGGAGTAGAGATGAGGCCGAGCAGTCCACGTGTCCTTTTGTTCGAACAGAAGGGAGACGAAAGCCAGTAGATCGAATCCAGACTTTTAATTCCACACACACATGCGCTGTCTAGAATAGCGGTGCGTGAGGAGGCGTCCAGAGCCGGAAAAGTGGCTGATGATGGAGCAGTTCGTGGTCTCCGACAGCGAGTGTGGTTTGCTGTCCTCGTGGAGGGTGAGAGGCCTAAGAGTTGATTACAGGCCGGGGATCGCGTAGGGGACGCGTATCCAGTCGTTACGTTGATTTCAGGGATTCCAAGAGATAGATTCTCTTGCGGCTTGTGCTTTTGTATTCCAGTCAAAGGAGGCGCGTCTATGACGTCATCTTTGTGCGTCTCCTTGGACATCCTTCACAACAGACATGTTATAATGGCATATGCAGGATTAATACAGACATTCATAACACATGTACAGGCACACAACGCATTTACATCACAGATGATTATACACACGTGTAGGGCACGTGAAGGTTATCAAAATAATGACTTTACGAGTGATGGTTTAGAATGTCCGTCTCGGGTGTGATAGTGTTCAGTGTCCACTGGGGGGCGTCAGAACGCCGTTGGTGGGTTACCAGTTGTCCCAGGGGGAAATGTCCTTTTGGAGTGAGAGCAGAACTTTGATCTCTGATCTGGCTCGGGAAGGGGGCAGAGATTTTTAGTCCCGTATTCGATTTATTGCTCCAAGCTGACGGTCGCTATCTCTATGACCGATGATAGCTCTCTATCCGACCCTCGTTACTCCTCAGATGTGGCTCAGGAGGGTCATTTCCCGGAGCGCATGTTTCGTTGTTTTGGCCAGCTGGTTATTGTCTGACTGGGGCCAGGTTTGCAGAGGGTGTCCTCTGCGTCACCTTACATATGTCTATTTTTTTATGTTTTTATGTGTTTTTAAATAATCCTTATTACAATTATTGTTACTGTGATATTCCGTATTTCTATCTATTTTTATGTTTTTTTCTGAACATTATTTTGGTTTAAAGTTCAGCGCAACGTATATACTATATAATAATTTGCACTAAACATACAACCAAAATAAGAACAATAATAATCAAAAAAATTCTACGATCAAGATCTGATTCTCGCTTTTATTGATTTGAAAAATTTTTGCAGTGTACTTTTTCACTGAAGAACAGTATTTGTGGTTTTACACCGATCCAGACCAGAGCAGAGAGGATTCATAGTCCCAACCATGCAGATCAAGTGTACATCCCAGCGGGGGCGGGTCCCGGCTCAAAAACTACCACATTGAGCATGTGCTGACATACTTGCTATACCACCCCAGGCCTGTGGGGGTGTACCCGGAAAGAGAATTACCCAATGCTTTTGTATGGCGTCTCCTTTCCTCTCAAAAATGTCTTTACAGGATGGTCCAAAAGTGGGTCTTGGTCCAACACTATGTTCCAGATGCTGTTGATGCTGAGAGGAGTGTATTGTTTTGGACCAGTCTAGTTTAGCCGCTGTGGACTTTTGAATGCACTGGTTAAATGAATGGGGCTAGTGCAGCTAACGCATGCGCTAGCTTACGTCCCATGTTTCCCATGTTGTTTTCTCTGCTCTCATTATCACCTGGATCTATCCTTCAGCCATGTGAGTTTGTGTCCTCGCTCTGGCCAATGACAAAGCTGGACTTTCGAGAGTGCGCCTGTGATTGGTCAATACCATATTTTTGCAAAGACAAAATTTTTTCCGCTATATCGTGCTGTCCTACTGAATAAAAACGAAACAATTTGACATTATTTGTATTATTAGTATAGACTTGAGTGCTAATATATACAGCTGGTTTCTCAAAAAAGTCATTGAAAAGTAAAAGATTATTTTTTCCCGTAACGAAATTGACTTCAAAATTCAGTATCAAAACCACAGTAATAATGAGACATAGGAATTCATCATTCAAAGTCACTTCTCAAAGGAATTCAGATATATTACAGTTTTTCAAGGTCAAAAAAGCAACATACAGTATATAAAGTGTATTTTCCTCCATTATATTTCCACAACTGTGTCAAACTGTTCGAATGCAGCCGCTCAATATGAAATGATATACTGCTCGGTGGAAAAACGATCTGAGGGTGAGGGAAGCAGCAACAGATAAGAGGATTACTCCGTTGTGATCTACCCCTGGGGCTGGTACCCCCGAGTACACGCACACACACCCACACACACACACATATAGACACACACACTTTCTCCTTTCATCTCCAGCATCATCTAAAAACGACATGACCCTGTGTCCCGTTCTGCAGAGGGCACCGGCCGCTAGAACATGTCCAGAGATAGGCTTTATATAAACTCCAAATGGGCTTAAATTACAGATTGTGCAAATGTGCGTTTTTTAACCCTCGACTGTGGACGTACAAACACAATATATGCAATGTTTTATGGATTTTTAAAAATGTCTACACAACATATGAATGTGTCACTTGTTTGCAGTAGTAGTAGTTTGTCATATAGTACTTTTAACTAGGGCTGGGATAAACGATTATTTTTTAAACGATTAATCTAGCGATTATTTTTTTGATGCATCGATTAATCTAACGATTATTTTTTTTCGCTTCGATTCGATTCTCGATTATCTCCCCATTAATTGACTAATATTGATGTATACATGTTGATTTAAATATTTTAATGAAAAAAACATGAATTCCTTCACAAAAAATATTTATTGCTTGCTCTTAAAATTCAAAAATAAGACATTCTTAGAGGTAGCATAAAATCTTAAAGCCTTGAAAACACAGCTTACTGAAAAAAGTGCATCTTATCATTCTTGAAACAAACATTTGATGCTTAGCATTCAATAAAAACATGAAAAAGTTCAGCCAAATACTTGTGTAGAGCAACTAAAAGAAAACAGTAACCAATGTAAACTTGAAGGCTTTAAGCTAAACAAAGAGTGCTTTTCCAGCAAAAACAGTGGGAGCCATCAGCCTGTCATGGCGTCCTTCCTGAACCAACAGAGTTTAACATTTAAGTTGAAGACACATAGGCCTATATTACTGAAGTCCATTAATTAAAGTGCATCTCTTAAATTCTTCATTCATATAAAAATAACAGTCAAAACTCTGCCACTCACCTTTTTCTTAAACTCAAAATTCAAAAATAAAATTCAAGTAAGAGTGTACAAGAGAAAAACAATGCATTGTGTAGCAAAT